ACTCAGATCCCCCCCCCCCGCCTTGAACTTGCGCAGCTGCTGGTTGAGAAGAGGCTGCAACGGTCATGTGTGCACTTGCTCTGTCTCTCCCCCTCTCTCACACACCCCCCTTTGTAGTGCTGTTTGTGCCGGCAGGCAGGCAGGCAGGCAGGCAGGCAGATAGATATCAGCAGGTCCAGCGCTCCCAGCTACTTGGGCCTCAGTGTGAGCTGGGTCACAGGCAGAGAGAGGCCTGCAAAAAGAAGCTGAACAAGATTTCTGCCAGACAAGGCAGATGTGGGGAGGGGGCGAGGAAGGGAGACAAGCGGGGGGGGGGCCAGGCGGTCTGGGGCGGAGAGGGGATGTCTACCGGTGGCCCCTGACGCAGGCAGGAGGAGCTGTTTCTTCCGTCTTGCCCGAGGCCCTCTGCCCTGCCGATGTGCTCTGTCCTCACTTCAACAGGTATCTGTCCCTGCTGAGACCAACAGACGGGCCAGAATACGCAGACACCGAATTCCAGGCCGCTCGAACAGAGAAGTTCAAACTTTTTGTGATCACTAAACAGCACCACCCCCCCGAGGACCTCCTGCAGACTCTTCTCCCCATCCAAGTTGTTCTGCGCAGGAGCAGTCGGTAGGCGCTGCCTGCACCCGTCCCCCCCATTAAAGCCACGTCTGAGCTCTGGGCTTGCCGCTTTGTGTGATGCATCCTGGGGCCAGAAGGGTAGACCATGCTCCCTGCCGGGGAGGGGAGGGGAGGGGAAGACAGGCAGCTGGCGAAGCGGCCAGAGGCCCTGCGTGCCAGCCCGGGGAGCACCGGCAGCACCTCTGCGGGGCTGTGTGTTCCCTGATGCACTGAGCCGTGCACGTGTGTGTGTGGGGTGTGTGTGTGTGCTGTTCTTTTTCAGAAAGCGAGGCTGCAGGAGAGGCCCCGTCTCACAACGGCTTCCTTCTGCCTTCTGAATGCCCTGCGTGACCTTCACAGGGAAGGGAGGGAGGCCGGCCTGCTGTGCCTCAGCCCCCGGAAGCTCTCCTCATTCTCTCGGAGACCAAGCGGGCCCTGGGGCCCCAGCAGCAGCAGAGCTGGCCCTTAAATAAACTGGTCCTGGAATGGGTGCCTCCTCTGAGCCTTTGTCCTGTAGGGTGACTGAACAGGCAGCCACCCCAGTGGGAAGGCACAGAGCCCCCCCTCCATCTCAGGTGCCTCAGCAAAGGGGAAGTCCCCCCCCCCCCGAAGTTCATAGCCCCACTCCCTTGAGGTCAGTGATCCTCCCATGCCGAGTTGTCTCCTAGTCCTGCTTTGCACCACCTTTTTTGAGTCTAGTGACCGGCAACCAAACCTGGGCTTTTCTGCATGCAAAGTATGAAGTAACTGACCACTGAGCAACAGACCCCAAATGACAGAATAACCCAGAGTTGGAAGGGGCCCTGCAGGCCATCTCGTCCAACCTCCTGCTGCTCGATGCAGGATCAGCCTAGAGCAGTGGTGGTGAACCTATGGCACGGGTGCCAGAGTTGGCATTCAGAGCCCTCTCTGTGGGCACGCGTGCCATCGCCCCAGCCAGGCCCAGAAGGGATCTCAAAGGTCATCTAGTCCAACCCCCTGTAGCTTCATGTGTGTTCACGTGACTGTCTTGGAGACTCTTCTCTCACGATGGTCCAAGCCAGAGCAGGCTGGTGTGACAGGTAAAGTTATTTCCTCACCCAGACATCATGGACTGAGAAACGGTATTGTTCAGTGGTTGGAGTGTCAGACTAGGGCAGTGGTGGCGAACCTATGGCATGGGTGCTAGAGGTGGCACTCAGAGCCCTCTCTGTGGGCACGCGTGCCATCGCCCCAGCCAGGCCCAGACCATCATGAAAGTGTCGAATTCTCTGCCAAATAATTTTAAGTAAACATAAGCATTTGGGATTGCTTTCCTTACTTTGTTTGGATCATCTTAAGTTAATGTATGAGTTGTTTCTTCTAAAGTAAAACCTCAGTACTCAGGTTAAATTGCCGTGTTGGCACTTTGCGATAAATAAGTGGGTTTTGGGTCGCTGTTTGGGCCCTCGGTCTCTGAAAGGTTTGCCATCACTGGCCTAGAGCATCCCAGACAAGGGTTTGTCCAGCCGCTGCTCCACGACTGCCAGGGAGGGGGAGCTCACCACCTCCCTAGGTAGCTGATTCCACTGCTGAACAACTCTGACTGTCAGAAAGTTTTCCCTAAGATCCAGCCGGTGCCTCCCCGCCCTCAACTTAAACCCATGATTGCGAGTCCTCTCCTCTGCTGCCCACAGGAACAGCTCCCTCTGAGGCGACAGCCCTCCAAATACTTCAAAAGAGAGCCATTCTGTGTGCCCCCCCCCCAACCTCCTCTTCTCCAGACTGAACCTTCCCAAGGAGTCCCTCAGCCTTTCCTCGCAGGGCTTCCTGGTCTCCAGGCCCCCAGTCGTCCTCGTCGCGCTCCTCTGCACCCCTGCTCCGTTCTGTCCACGTCCTCCTTGGATCCTCCTTTACTGAAACCCAGGTGAACAGCACCAGCAGCATTCCCTTGACCTGAATTGCCTGGGCTCGCCAGGCCAGGGTGTCGGCTCCTGCGTTTTGAGAGGCTCCGCCCACTCTCTCTCTCTCTCGCCATCCGCTCAGCAGAGGAGGGCCCAGTGGCATGTCTTCCAGCCCAACTCTGGCAGCTCCATTCCTGATGGGCACTGTTGAGGCAAAGCTTCCGGCAGGGTCCCCCATGATGTCCTCCTGATGACGGGTAAACTGGAGGACTGTGGAGTGGACTCTGGGACAGTTAGGTGGACGGGGGACTGGCTGGAGAACCGCACTCAAAAGAGTAGGTGTCAGAGTGGCATTTCATCTGAATGGAGGGAGGTGTCTATGAAACCTGAATTGTTGTTGTAAAGCACAACGGTGTGCCAGGTCCAGAGAACCACACTGGCTGCCAGTGGGTGTTACCTGCTGTGTTCCGCCGCTCGAAGGGCTGGTTTGGGAGAAGGGTTTGTAAAGGGCTCTCCACTCCCCTATCAATCTGCCTGGCCATCCCTTGGCTGCTTACGGGTGCTTCCTGATCTGAAGTCAAGGTGGGTGGGTGGGTGGGTGGGTGGGGCGGGGCCTCTTGCAGCAGGGCAGCGTAGCTTTGCCATGCCCTAGCCATACCTGCTCATCTGGTGCCAGGTTCTGTGGGGTCAGGCTAAAAACATTTTTACACAGTCTCTGCCAATGTGTTGTCGTTGGTCTGCATTGACCAGTTTACTGCCTTAATAATCACCCTGATATTCCAGCGCCTGCAGTATTTTACATTGAAAGGTGCTAGACATTAAATAACCCTAACAAATTAATATCATTAGATTATCAGATGGTGGCGGCCAAACTAACCTGGTGGCCCACAGGCTGTTTCTGTCGGCTCCAGGGGACGCAGGGTCCTCTGCCACTCCTGCCACTGGTGAAAGGCAGACTTGCCAGTGGCGGCTACTGGGGCCTCCACCGCGAAGGAGGCATATATCCAGCAGCAGGCCCAAGCGCCTCTCCTCCATCACTGGCACCAACGGAGGAGCCCCATCGAAGGCTGGGAGTAGTGGGATCCCTGCCCTTGGCCCGCCCCGACTCAGGCACAGGACCTCCGTCTTCGCCGGATTCAATTTCAGTGGGCTCAGCCTAAGCCACCCAGCCATGTCTTGTGACGCCCAGTCCAGGTCTTCCGGTTTAGAGTCAAGACCGGCCACCGAACAGCAGATAGAGCCGGGTGTCATCTGCATACCGGTGACATCCCAGCCCATGTCTCCGTGGGCCATCTGGGCAAGGGGGTGCATGTAGATGTCGAATAGCACACTGGGGACACAGCGCCCCCCCCCTTGAGGCGCCCCACAGTCCCCTGAGTGCCTTCGGGAGAGCTGTTCCCCCAGCACCACCCTTTGTCCCCGACCTTGGAGGAAGGAGGCGAGCCACTGCAAGGCAGGCCCCTGGAGCCCAGTGTCGGCCAGGTGGTGGATCAGGAGCTGATGGTCGACCGTGTCGAACACTGCCAACAGGTCCAGCAACAATAGCACTGCCGATCTGCCTTGCTCCAGATGCCTTCGGAGGTTGTCCGTGAGGGTGACCAGTGCCATCTTTGTCCCGTGGCCTGGGCAAAAGCTGGACAACCTGACTCACAATCGAGCTGATATCTGGGTGGAAAGTTACATCTTGTGATCTAGGTCATGGAAAGTTATGGGAGAGAGAGAGAGACGGGCTTCCCCTCTCCTTTTCTCTCTCTTTCCTTCCCCAGCCCCCACCCCTCCCACCCCCACCCCCAAGGAGGCTGGGGAAGGAAGGGAGCCCT